CTCAACCAACAACAGTGACATATTTTTCCCACTGAGAAACTTTTTTGTTTGGGTGATATTTTCAATGTTATTTTTTTTCAACACAAATGTAACTTTTCCAAAGAAAGCAGAGTTCTATAATAATGTCAGATGGTCTTTGAGTTTCTCAGCAGTACAGTTTCTATGAATTGTTTTGAACCAACCCACACGAGAAGCTGGATACATTATTCTGTGTTTATAAATAGGTCTGTTTTCACAAAACTCTTTCTCAAAGAAATTGCTCTTGATTAATATGAAGTACTTTCACTTATTACTTGTATTATAAAAAGAGAGGAATCCTGCATGATTCAGAGCCCTGTTATGCTAAGGGTTAATAATAAGACAAATCTTACCCTGAAAAAACCTCATCTTTTGAGTTTGCTCCAGGTCTCTGCAGTCCTTGATTGTCTTATACCTGCCTCCAAATTAATCATTCCCATCCCTCTTTTGAGTTCTTAACTTCTCCATTCCTCACAATATCATTATCCTTATGAGGAAAGGCAGCATTTTTCACCCTGTGTTACAGACAGGGACTTGTGGTGCAGAGGTGAAATGTCATGCTGAAGGTTGTCTGAACCAGAGCAGGGGGTGGATGCCCACTCTTCCCCTAAAAAAAAGCAGCACCCTGACTGCTATGCTTCCATTCAGCTAGTCCTGTGATAATATTACATTTTTGTTCATTAATTTCCCATTGGTCAGTCTATGAAAGAAAACTCACAGTATGTTATCAGTTGGTTACACAAGGGAGCTAAAACATTTAGCTACTATAAGTGTAAAAAGGGTGAAAAATAGAAGTTAGTAAAAGTGAATGAAGAGAAGAAGTGAAGTGCAGGAGCAGTATAGCTGCCAAGGAGTCGTGGGAGGGTATGGAAAGGAAATCGAAGCTTCAAGCTGACCCATAAAACTCCGTGGTGTTACCAGCAACCTCATTGATTTCACCTTCAGAGATTGTGTTTTGCAGTAACCTTCACTTAAGTCATTGACACCTGCCCACTTCAGTTCTGTGGCCAGCCAGAAACCTTCCTACCTCCCTTAACCACAGCCTTCCACACCAGGGTCTCTGCTGTCAGCCCCCAGGCTCTGCATGACTCACCCCCTCTGAGTCTCTGCAGACACTTGCCTGAGCTTTCTCAGCTTGTCATGGCAAGAATAAAAAGGCAAATAAATGGGGTTGCATGATGACAGGAATCAGATCTTCAGTTTTGGGGCAGGATCCAGAATCTCTGTAGGAGAGTTCAGCACATGCTGTGCATCCCTGTTAGACCTAGCTGCCTGGACAGGAAAAGGAGCAAGAGTAACACAGAAAAGACCACACAGAGCCCAAGCTTCCCCACTCCTTGTTCTTTCTGTATGAAGAACCCCCCAAAATGATGTTTTCCTCCACAAGGAAATGCAGTGCTAACTTCATTATCAGGTTGGAAATCAAGGGAGTCATTAGTTAAATGACTTTCCCAAATGTCACACTAAAGACTTGCACTCTCCTGAAAGACAGCTGAGTGTTGTCTCCAGTACACGCTTCATCATCAGGTTGGAAATCAAGAGAGTCATTAGTTAAATGACCTTCCCAAATGTCAGTCACTAAAGGCTGCAGGTAAGATTTGCACTCTCCTGAAAGACAGCTGAGTGTTGTCTCCAGTACACTGCTCCTCTCAGCTCCTGCAATTGCATCTGCAGTCTTGTCAAGGGTTGGTCTGGGTCCACTGACATCTCCAACATGACATCTGTGGAAATCTCAGTGAAAAACCTGTGGGGGAGGAATCCTGTCCCCATGAATATTTAAGAGCATGCACATTAATTAATGTCTTCCCTGTCAGGAGTGGGCAACAAAGTTAGCACCAAATGAGCAATATGCAAACTCAGCCTCAGAGGTACATAAGATGTCTGGTACAAATTAAACATCAATTCTCAGAAAATATCCTCTCTAGACATCCCAAGGAATAAGTTTCTTTAGGGTCTCAGTTTGTTATGGAGGCTGTTTCCTTTAAAGCAAAAGGTTTGCCTTACTTACTGCCTGAAGTTTGTAATTGGTAGTTTTCCAACATAAATCCAAAGGATTTCTGATTGTTCTGTTGGTTAATAACCAGAAAGGAAGCACAGGATTATGGTTATGTTACCTTTTCCTAATGCTACTGATAATTTCTTAATAGGTTCAGAAACCAGACACTTCAGTGACTTTTATCTCATGAGCCAACTCTTCATACAATGCCTGGGTCTGCAGTGGTTGATTAGAATATAACCTGCATGCTATTGCAATAAGGAGTTGGTTTGAGGGCTGGATGATACCAGTTTCTAAACCATTGAACCTGCAGGATGAATAAATTTATCAATTTTCTGGAAATTACGAATGAATGGTTCAGTCCCAACAAGCACCTGCATTAGCCCAGTCTCATTGTTTCTGAAATTCTGAAGGGGAAAGAAAAAATCACATTTAAACCGAGAACAGTCAGGACTGGATGGTTCAGACTTTGGCAACCAACTAACAACGGCTATTGCTGCCATGTGAAATTCATCCTCACTGTACAGTGGCTACGCAGGACAGTGTTCCAACAAGTGCTCCATGGCTTATGTGTAGCTTACTGCCTGAACAAGGAAAAAAATAAAAATTAAAAAAAAAAATAAAAAAAAAGAATATTTCATCTGTGTCTGCTCTCCATCCTGAAAGGTGACAGCTTTGTGAAGGTGGGTTACTTGTAACAATTCCACCTTCCTGCTGTGAAGTATAATAGAGGCTTTTGTTTTTATGCTTCTGTAGGTACAGAGACTTTAGACCATGTCTGCAGACATCAAGTCTAGAGTGTTGCCCAAGATGGCAGCATTTTTTGAGACACAATTGACATTTTTTGTTTTAAGGCTGATTAGATTGTGCTGATCACAGACACTCAAAAAATCACTTTCCATAGGGCTTTGTGGGCCTTTTCCATTGCTTCACGTCACAGTGAAGCCACCAGTGGCTTGGTCACGAGGCTGTGAGGTCTTGGGGAGGGACTGCGTGTGCAGCACAAAGGAAGCTGCGTCTGACCTGACTTTCACAACTTTCTTCTGCACCTCAGAGGTTTTGTGTACTCATTGACTCCAATGTATTCAGTAGAAATGATTTCCATTTTGTAAGATAAGCTGATTCAAGGCCTTGATGGCCATTAGTGCTGTGAGGCAGGTGCTGATGAATAAGCTGGGGCTCTGTCCAGACTATTGGCATTAGCACAGCTCGAGGGACAGGCTAAGCAGGCAGCCACCCACAGGAGCAAAGAGTGTGAAAACCATCACAGCTCTCCTGCCCACGCTGCCTAGAGAGCCATGTGGAGGCAAGGCTCAGGACAAAGGGAGGTGGCAGCTATTGCGGCGGAGAAGCAAAATTAGGTCCTGGCACGAGCTGCAAATTAGCTGATGGCACCAGCAACGATGTGGATTAGACCACTGAGAATGCTCTGCAGGAGCTCTTGGTAAATGCTGCCTCCTGCAGAAATGAGAGGGAGGGCCCATACTAAGCATGAAGTGAGGATGAGGCACTGGGACAACTTTCCTGCCCAGCACACTCTGTTTTCATAGACAGGTGTCCAAAAACCAAAGCCAGAGGCTGAAGGATGGAGGAACTCAGGGCTGGACAAGAGGCACAACTTCCCCTTCAGCTGATCACCCCTGTCACCAGCTAACACAGGGATGCTGCTGCCTCCTTCCTACAGCGACATTAACAGCCCCTTTTTCCTGCAGGTGTCTGGAGTTTGTAGATATTGTGGGGAGGAGGGTAGGGTGGGGTGTATGATAGTATTTTTCACTCGTAACACCTACCAAATTATGGCATCAACAAAAACAGAGCAGTGGGTCCTAGGCACTCGTTCAGTATTTGAGTTCCTCCTGTCCTCCTGGGCTGTAGGATGATTCTGGGCTTTGAGATGGAGCCATATGGCAAGCCAGGAGGTGTCACACAGAGCCACTTCACAGACTTCAATCAGGAATGTTTCCAGCAAAAGAAAAATGTGTTAAACTCAGCCGTTCTCACAGTCTGACAGCTCCTGATGTTCATGTCAAGAAATGAATGCAAAAAAATGTGCTCTCTCTGAAGAGAGACATAATTACTGAATAATTAATAAGAGCTCACACAGCACAATTTGCCCTTCCCCATGCAAGGAATGCTCAAGGTCTTGAATTTTTGAAAAATGAAAGCCCAAGATATTGGCACCCTTTCCGCCTTTCCCCTGGAAGGTTTTTTTGTAAGACATAATGAGCCCACTTGCAACCATGCCACCAATTAGCAGAGCTGATGGCCAAGCTTGGCCACCACCATGCCCAGTTAGCAGAGCTGTTTGACTAACTGCACTGGGTTTATTCGAGGGGAAATCAGGGCATTGAGGTGAAATAGCTGCAGTTCAAATAACAGTGTTCTGCTTATTGGAAATAGTTTAATCAAGGAAGGAGGCACTGCCACTAACATCACCAGGTATTTCCCATTGGTTTGTGTAGGTAAGTCGTGACCTGTAGTGAAATGAGGCAATAAATGCTATCACAACCAACTCTTCTGCCTGTTTTGAAGGCTTTGCTATCCAAAAGAAAGAAAAAGAGGAGGAAAACAAAGAATCAGGATGCATCAATGAGAAACTGCCAATGGGGACTTCTCAACAGCACTAGCAGAAACTAGTGATAGTAATATGAACAAGGAGCCAGCATTGGCAACCCTTGGCATGGGGTGGGAGAGATGGAGGGAAGAGGCTTATCTCCTGCTGGGCTTGCACAGGCCTGGTGAGAGGGCAAGAAGAGCAGATGGATGCAATCCAGGAAGTGCAGTTCCCACCACCTCTCCCATCCATCCCATCTACACCAGAAGCCCCCACTGCAGCCACAGGTACACTCCCGCACCTGCGAGTCGCCTGGGGTCCTTTAGTGCAGGACGCTGACAGCAGAGCCACGTGGCACATACAAGAGCAAGCCAAGGTGTATCACCTTGCTCCTGGGCATCAAACACCTGTGCAGCCACTCCATGTACGTACCTGGCTGAAGGCAGCCATGGCTTGCTCAAACCTCTGCTGAATAAGAGCGATGGTGCTGAACACCGGCGGGAAGGAACAGTCTTGAGGGGCTGAAACAAGAATAAGTTTGTTATTGGTTTCCATCCTACAGCAAAGCTCCCACAAAGGTGAGAGATTTGAGCATTTATAGGAGTCATTACTACAAAGTGTGTATGGGAGGAGAATATGTGTTTGTGCTCTTAACTCCTGGATGTTGCCAAATTTCCCCTAGAATGTGAGGGCTCCAAGCCCCACGGTGGTCAGCACAACAGCTGCTGTCACACAGGGCCAGCTCAGCTCCGGGGCACTGGCCAAGGCTGGTGCACAGCCACAGCACTGTGGACAAAGCCCTGGGGCCACCAGCTGAGGCACCCCAGCAGGTGTCTGCCCCACTTGGGACAACCTTGGCACCAATGTCTGCACAGGGGCTGCTCAACCCGAGCTCCTTTTATGGGAGGGAGGAGACATGGACACTTGCAGGGCACCATTCTTCCCTCCCCACTTCTGCAGCAGGCTTGGGAGAACAGGAACCAGGTCCTTTCCCAGAAATGCCCACTTCTCTGTCCTGACTGTAAAAGGCCCTTGGACCAAAGGGGTTGGATACAGACCTCCACACTCTGTAAAATGCAGGGTGAGAGGAGGCTGCACTTGGTGATCCCAGCATGCAGAGGCAACCAAGCTGGTTTCAATTAGAGGTGGGTAAGTTACCTCCTTCAAATCTACAGGGAAGCTCCCTGTCTCTTGAAAATCTAAAATCCTTGCAATCTGTGCTTCGGGACAGCAGGTTCTGTGTGGCTGCCTGCCATCTGAACACAAGTATGAGTGCTAAGGAAAGAGGCTATTTTAGGAACAAGTGACAAAACAGAGGAACATCAGAGGCAAGAAATGGCTCCTTGCTGCCAAGTGTTGACATGAGGCCAACAAAGGGCAGGTTGCTGCCCTTTTGGGAGGATGCCTGTCCTATTAAAGTTGCAGTTACAGTATTTTTTTGAGGTACTTGGAAAGCAGGTGATATATTTACAGGGAACTTTGTGAACATTTGGCCTTATTAACTGAGTGGAAAAGGAATGATTAAAAACACCATCTGCTTTGTATTGAACTTTGTTTCAAATTCATCAGAATTTCATCAGCTTTAACCTCTAATTCTCGATTTTTACTCCTGAAAGTATGTTAGCAGCATACCACCCCATTCAGTATACAAATGGCAAACAAGCCCTGCTGGTGGTGTCTGCAGACCTCCTCCACCACAATCTCACCAAGTCAGTGCAAACCAGCCCAGCACAAAGGGGAGGCACCTGCACCACATGGAGCAGAGCTGCAGGCACATGTTCTCCCTGAAGGTGTCTGAGAAGGGTGACAAGGAGCCCAGATAGCTGAGGCCACCCCATGGTGCCACAGCCCATGTAAGCCAAGCAAATGCAGTTTCCCATAGGAGATGGGTGATGTTCCCCGTTATTATCAGCAAGTAAAGCAGCAGCAGGAGAAGTCACCTTGCTCTGGCTGCAGGGAAAGGTGCTGGCACACACGACCATGATGCTACAGCAGCACTGCACTGGGATACTAGAAAACCACTTCCTCCTAGCAACAGTGAAAGACAGGAGAGATTTGTATATTTACTCCTGGTTTATACCAGTTTGACACTGGTATATTTATCCCAGTGGCCTCTCTGTATGTGGGACCTTGTGTGACAGGAGTAGGTGACACTGCTTCATGCCTGCAGAGGAGCTGGTTTCTGAAGGCAATGCTTGTTCCCCTGCCTGTACTATCATGTCCCTTGTTGGTGCCTACCTTTGACAAATACCTAAAAATATGCAATCGGAAGTCAAAGAAATGAACTTTGAAATTGCTGATTACATACGTATGTGTGTTATCAGAGCAACAAGTCTTTTCTAGGTATTGACTCATTATTACCAGGAGCTCTTCTGCAGGTGCTGCTCAACAAAAGGTTAGTACATGACAAAGCCTATGTTGCTCTCACAGCAGTCACTGCTGAGCTCATCGAGTTAAATGTGTTTTGGAGAAAGGTTATCCTTCCAAGATCATCCTAAGATTGTGTAGTGTGTTGTCTTCATGTTTGAGCTCACTGGGACTCTGGCTGGGGGAAGTTCTCTAGCTCTAGTTAAAGTACCATATTCATGGAAGGCATGGTCTATCCATCTTTGGTTTTGCAGTATCATGATAAAACACCAGCCTAGTGATAAAGCAATGGAAATAGCTGCACTCTCTAGGGGAAGTGAGGATGACTCCTGACTCAGGCAGAGGCCCATTTTCTCCCCAGCTTAGTCCCTTGTATCCTGATCTCTGACCACACCAGCTTACAACACCATCAGTACTGTTTGTCATCCTGCCTCCATTTAAATCCACAAGGACTGCTCAGTGCAGACTCCCAAACAAGATGCCCTTGGGAGGGCAGACACCAGTTCTTTAATCTGGTGAAACATCCAAGAGGTCAGCCAGGACTCTTTTCTGAGCCTACCTAGGACCAGCCAAAAGGTACTGTCTGTGCAGAGCAGACAGGGAATGCTCAGAGAAGTGCAACCCTCCACTCAGAGTGGGCATGGGGGTTACAGCTGCTGGCAGCAGGATGCTCAGGGCACCTGGATTGATGTGTCACAGGACAGCAAGGAAAGAACACTGCACTATGGCGAAAAAATGTGTTTGTTCCTCTCCCCTAATCAGTGTAAAGCAAATTATTTCTGCTACTGCTATTCTTATGTTAACTCTGTTCTAGAGTTGCCACAATTTCATCTACCAAATGCATATGGACAAGATTAAATAAGCTGTGTATTTCAAGTGATGTATGTATACACATGCACACTTTGACACAAGTGAAAATATCAGACCTGATGTTCCCCCTCTCACTCCAAATACAAGGGACTTATTATTTGATTTATTGAACAGGATAATGTCATGTCATGAACAACAACTTTATTCCCCAGTGTAGCTGCTACTGTGGAGTTAAAAAAAACTACATGTGATTTTTGCTCAACACTGCAGCAGGTGCAGAGAGGACAAATAAACTGTGCCCTGTGTTCCAAGACCTGGGAGAATTTGAACACACTTATGTCAGTATTCACTATCAATTACACCATACTTTCTCTCTTCAGGGGTTTTCCTCTGCTTAACAGAAATCCTTTTTGCTTAATGGAGGATATCACAGTTTCTGCCACAAGTTTAGCTCCACCCGTTCTTACTCCAGCCTGTCACCTGTTCTCATTCTGAGACAAACCGTAAATAATGCAAGGATGTCATCCGCAGATGGCAGAATTTCAGGAGCACTCACTGGGAGCCATTTGCTCCAGGAAATCACCAACATGCACCATGAAAGGGCTTCACCCCAGGCAAGGGCTTCACCCCAGGCACCCACAAGGAGATCTGCCTGAAGACTCGACCGTAACCAGAAAAACAGCAGGGACAGTCTGAAATTTATCCCAGTGCTCTACACATTGCAGTGGGATATAGATTACTGAGGGTGCTCAACAACCCTTGCACCCAATTATTTCCTTCTTGCAACTGACACAAAAATCAAATCTCCTTTATTATCTCAAAGCACTCCACCAAAAACCCTGAAAATCCAGAGTTCAGTCATCCTTCCTCAGATGCGCTAACCATGTCCTGCTGGTTTGTAGGTGCAAATGCATTGCTTGTCTTCACTCATTCAGAAAGCCTTTCAAAGTGTGTATACAGGGACATGATTTTGCCATCTGAAGAGATTTTTGGGTGGCCAGATTCTTCAGCAAGTAACAGCCAGCGCTACCTGAAAACCAATGCCATTTCTAAAGCCTTGGACTTCTGTTTCTTCATGACTTTCAGAAATGCCCCCACATCTATTACTTCTACAGTCCTTAAGGAAATACAAAAAGGCTCTTTACCCTCTTCTACCACAACAGGTGAGAGTCCTTGTGAAAACAGCAAACTCACATCCTTCTTCTCCTGAAAGAATCCATCAGTGGCAGGAACACTGAACATGAACATCAGTTCACTTTAAGTTATCACTTAAACCAAAGCCCACAAGACACCTAATGCAGAAAAAGAGAGGACAGCCCAGAGGACTTCCAGGAGGTGTGGTGGCAGGTAAACCTGCCTTTCCTCGGCCAAGCTTTCCCAGGGAACACAGTGAAATTCCCAGGGACTTTCCCCAGTCATGACATGTACATGCACATGCAGAGGACACTGGGACAGGGGCAGATGTGACCACTCCAGTAGATCAGGATGCCAAAAAGGGGAGGAAAAGGGCTCCTGAGGGCAATGAGTACTTTAAAGGAGCTTTTTCCTAGACCTCTTCCCAGTTTTGTCTCTCACCTGAGGTCACTAGCAAGGAGATGACAAGAAGTGTGGGGATGCCATCCAAACACTCTTCAAGGCACTGGTTTTGCTGCACTGCCAAACCAAACCACCTGCAGATGCTCCTGGTTTCACGGCTCACGATATGCTTGTGTGAGCCAGTGCTGCTTATCTTGAGGCAGGGCTCTGCTCCCACTGAGAACATCCCTGGATGCTGCTGCCTTGAAGAGGGCAGGGGTTGAGCATGACAGTGCTATTTGTCATGGGCCAAAGAGGGTTCAGGGCTGGCTTTAACAGTTTATGTGTGATATTAGAATTTATACTATTTTAGATCATTACACTGCAGTGCTAGGCAGCACTCTCAAGTGCTTCTTAATCTGTGAATGCAGCAAACCCTGAATGGTGCATGCACTGGCCATTTCTGCAGCCAGTCCCACTAGCTGACATTTCAGATGAGCAACCTTCTGTGAGTATTTCCCAGTGGCACACAGACGAGTGGCATTGCCTGGCTCCTTTGTCCTTCATGGACCAGGGCACCTCTGTATTCCCCTGGGATCTGTTGGATGCTCTGCTGCCTCACTGCCCCAGCAGTGCCCACGAGAGCTGCCCCATGGATGTTCCCTTAGGAATTTGTTTGGCTTAGTCAAGCAGGCTGGGAAGGAACTTACAAATACATGCAAGAGGAGGATTTCTGGTCTTTGTTGTATCAGCATGGGCAGAGTGGTCCCTCTGAAATAAGCAGCAGCACTCAATTTAAACTAACCATCCCAAGGTGTGGGTCCAGGCTTACACAGAATAAACCAGACTGGAATTTGCCTTGATTTGGTCTCCAGTAAAACTCTTTTCCAAAGCCACTTTGTGCCACTATCATCACTCGAATCAGCACAGTTACTCTGGACTTCTAACAACGCAGCAATAAACAGATTTTTGTCTAAATAGGTTTAAAAGCTGACAGCCTTGTTATGGGGCCTGATGAGATTTCCTTTATTGACTGTGCAATCAGTGTGATTTAGAGTCTCCACAGGGGCCTTGCTGAAGGCTCTCCAAGACCCAGCTGTGACAAATCCCCCCCACAAGTTCTGCTGGGCACTGCTGCTGGAGACAGCGGCTGTGGTTCTGGGACCTTGTTCCTCCCCCTCATCCTCCCACCCTCCTGATCCTGCCTTCCTGGTGTCCTGACCCCCCACGGGGCCAGTTATTTGTCTGGCATCACACCCCTGCCTTCCAAGGTAATAAATTACTGCGGGAAGCAGCTTTGCACTGGACCTCATTAACCACAAACACTGCCGTCCCTTTTCCTGCCACTCCGTGCAAGCCAGACATCCATGACTATCGGCAGCAGATATGCATTTCTCGAGCTCCCAGGAGGACCCCCAGGTCTGTGGCAGATGGTGCACTGGGCTGATGGATGCACAGGGCTGGGGAAGCTAGTCACCCTCCTTGCCCCTTGGGATCATGTCCCAGCACAGCCTGGCCCTCCCTGTGATTCTCCATTCCCGTGCCATTGCAAGGGATTTGTGGATGCTGTTAATATTGAAAAAAGTTGGAGGAAAGGTGAAGAGCCTTTTTTGGTATTGTCTTATTCCATTTTCAGAGGCCACTGTTGTCCTGAAATAGCATCAGGCTTAAGCAAAATAGATTTACAAAACTCAAAGTGAAGTGTCAAAGTGCAGCAAAATGGATCTATGCCCATGCTATGGGTGCAATTACTGGGGCTGTGTTATGTCTAACGAAAATAGCTTTTTTTTTCAATGTATATTGAAAGGTTACTTTTTAATAAAGCTAATTAAAAATTTGTCTTGGCGCCACCAGCATCCCAACATTCTCTGCTAAACAATCACCTACTCTTTTCTTTTTATTTCTTGTTTAGTTTCTCACCAGAAACAGAAAAATACAGAGTAGTTACAAAGAAAGAAATGGGAAGAAGAGACAGGAAAATACGCATATCTGAAACTCTCTTTTTTACAATGTTTCTAAGACAACTTTGAAGAAAATGTAACTATTATTCGTTTCGCTTTTTTCCTCTAAACTCATTTTTGTTTTGGTTTAGTTTTTTGATGTAAACTCTCTAATTGGAAAAAAGTCCATTTCTGCTAACAGCCCTTGTTCTGAAGAGCAGGGGGAACAATGGAAAACCAGATCATTTGTCATGTAAAATTACAAATTTTATATTTAGAAGCACTGAAGCTACCACTTAACATCCACACATCTCTGTGTAAGGGAACCATGCGGAGAGCCCCCCATTTTTTGCAGAAAAGTCTATATGTCAGATGTGACAATGTCATGAAGCAATGGCACTTTCCTATGCAGAGATTCAGTCTTCAGCGATATTCTTTTTGTTTTCCAGCCAGCACCTCGCTCCTGTCTGAGGTCAGACTAAATGATGTAAGGCTCCCTTCTGGCCCCGCAATCGATGGGCTGGTGGCCGGGGCTCCTCTCCCTGCTGACAGCAGCGTTCGCTGCAGCTGAGACCCCCCCGGGGACCAGGCTTTGCTCCTGGGCTCACACCACACTGCCAGGTGCTATGGGACAGCGTTCACAGCGTGCACTAAAGTGAAACATGTTTCTTACAACGATGTTAAACAACCTCTCCAGAAGAACAACAATAAAAAACATCTTAAACTCTTCCCCTCACATAGATATAGCCAAGAAACCCACCAGCTTTATCTTAACCAATGTCCATTTACTCGTGGCTGAGTAAATGTTTGTTTGTTCCGTTTTTCAAGACTGCTGCCCTAACACGCTGCCAGAGCAGTTTGACAGTGCAGTGATATCGTCAAGCACTCTCTTTAAATTCCATTTCTGGCAAGAAAGGCGGAACTGCACGTACCGACCTGGCCTCTGCTCATCTGACCCTGACTCCACCCGGCTCCCGTGACCCCTTTCTCGGGATGAGGAGAGCTCTGCGCTGCAGGGACCACGAACCCCTCTGCGCCCAGCAGTCCGGCCCCGGCCCAGTGCCCTGGGGCGCATCTCCGGTGCGCGGGAAGTCCTGGGTTTGCTTGTCACCAGATTCAGGACCAGGCTCAGATCCCCGGCAGATCCCAAGCTATCTCTGTGCCCCAGTCACCCGCGGCAGCAGCAGCCGCCTCCGCTCTCACTCCGGGAAGGAGCGCGGCTGCCCCGGCGCTGCCCCGCTCCGCGCCCCGCACTCACCGCCTCGGGCGCGGGGACCGCCCGCGGCCCCGGCATCCGCCCGCTCCCGCTCCGGCTCCGGCTCCGGCTCCGGCTCCCGCTCCGGCTCCAGTGAGCGAGACCCCGGCGCCGGCCGCCCCCGGCCCTCCCCGCCGAGGGAGGAGCCGCTCCCCCCGCAGCAAACCCCGGGGGTCCGCCGGCATGCCGAGCGGGCCGCGGGCAGGGCTTGCCAGAAAAGGGGAGGCAAAAATCAATCGGCTCCCGTGACCCCTTTCTCGGGATGAGGAGAGCTCTGCGCTGCAGGGACCACGAACCCCTCTGCGCTCAGCAGTCCGGCCCCGGCCCAGTGCCCTGGGGCGCATCTCCGGTGCGCGGGAAGTCCTGGGTTTGCTTGTCACCAGATTCAGGACCAGGCTCAGATCCCCGGCAGATCCCAAGCTATCTCTGTGCCCCAGTCACCCGCGGCAGCAGCAGCCGCCTCCGCTCTCACTCCGGGAAGGAGCGCGGCTGCCCCGGCGCTGCCCCGCTCCGCGCCCCGCACTCACCGCCTCAGGCGCGGGGACCGCCCGCGGCCCCGGCATCGCGCCCGCTCCGGCTCCAGTGAGCGAGACCCCGGCGCCGGCCGCCCCCGGCCCTCCCCGCCGAGGGAGGAGCCGCTCCCCCCGCAGCAAACCCCGGGGGTCCGCCGGCATGCCGAGCGGGCCGCGGGCAGGGCTTGCCAGAAAAGGGGAGGCAAAAATCAATAGGCGCGGGGAGAAAAGAAGTGGAAAGTGACTTACAAAGAGAAAACCCTTCACGGGTTCTTCACAGCCAACCTTTCTCAGCCAAGCAGGACTATTACTGAGGCGGCGTGGCAGGTATGAATGTAACACCGCAGGGTGTCAGACAGAGCGAGCACCAGGGCTGGGCAACTTGCAGTCGAAATTTGCGTCCATCAGGAATGAAGGAATGAGGGATGGGACCAAGCGGCATAAGAGAGAGGGGTCTATGTCACCACTGGCTCGGATGTAAAGACTCTGTAATGTCATCCATACAAGTGTCCACTTAGGTCTTAGGACATTCTCATTGTCCTGGACACAGGTTTGGGGAATCACCCTTTTAATTCTGGTAAGAATGGCACAAAGCTCTTACGAAACTGAGATTGTCTTTCTACTACCCAACGTCCTCCATATTCTTATTGAAATCTAAGTAACCCAAGTGCTGGGAAGCTTTATCACTTCAAAGTGGATTATTTCTTCTACAGACTTGCCTGTACTTAACCATCTTATTTTACAAGTGACCTTTTCTCACTGAGTTGTGCTGCTTGGCAGCTAAATTTGCAGTATTTGTTTCAAGTAATGATGAATTGTCTCCAGATGGGACACTTGCTCTTGCAGTCTGGATTATGGTATTTTCACTAGGAAAAAAGCATAGGAACTGCTCTTTCCCATGAGTAGGACAAATGTCCTGTCAAATCTGGGCTGGTTAATAAGAGCTCCAGTTTGCCCTTGAAGAGGGGGAGGGATGAATTATCATGTCCCTGACTGCCCACAAGGAACTCCTTAGGGGGAAAAAACCCCAAACAAAACAGCATAATACAGCACTTTTCAAAACCACTCAAACCCTTTGAAAGTACAGGTAGATACAGATCCCCACATTAAGTTGTTTCGAATGACAGCAGCTCTGCCTCTGCCTGTGTACAGCCAGCTGCTGCCCATCAGCCACCTAGTTCTGCCAGCATTTTCCTCCCTTTCCTGGCTCTGTGTGATTCAGGGATTTCTAGAGGGCTTCTTGGTTTGTTTGGGTTTTTTCCTCTTGTATTTTTTCAGCTTTATTACTGAGAACATCACTTGTACCAAATATTAACAAAACTTCATTTCAAGCTGCTGGGTCCTCTCTGTGACATCCTCTGGCAGCCTGCAAAAAATCAACAGGGAAGTTACATGAGATTTGGCATCATCACTGCAACTATTGTGAAGGCTCAGTGAAGCCCTCCAGGACATGAATGCAGGCCAGATTTTCAGGAAGTTGCAATATGTTCCCAGACAGCATGATCAGCAGTGATTGATTTCTGCATTTACAAATGTGTTTATTGTTTTACATTAGTTCAAAGTGGACAGATAAGAGGCCTCCAGAGAAGCGAGAAAAACCATTGCTTTGGTGTTTAGATCAGAAATGTTTTCTGTATTGATGCAAAGAGAGGAAATTTTTTTCTAAGGTCACACAACATCTTGGGCAGGACCTTTCAGCATGTAAAATATTGGCTAATTTAAAGGTGACAACTGAAGACTAGAGTGAGAGAAATCAGAATTGCAAACATGGTCATCTTATTTCTTACAATTCATATTTCTTTTGATGCTTATGCTAAAAAAAGAAACTGCTTTGATCTGCACAAAGCCTCATATGTTTTAGCAGAGTAAGATTAACTGGGTTGCCTAATTAAAACAGGCACTCACCAATTAAGATAATAAAAAACTGCTACTTGAAATTCAAAAGAGACCAAGAAGTTAAAGAGACACTTATCCAAGAGCTTAGCAGGTTTTCATTTGCGGATACTTAGGGGGAAAAAAAAAAAAGGTGAAGACGCACTCTGGAACGCAGCCCAGTAAAATCAGAGAGGAGTCTGCGGGCTCCTGTGAGCTTCATTACCAAAGGGCCTGCTGCTCGCCAGCCCCTTTGCCTTTGCACTCCATCTGCCACGTCTTGTACGCACTGAGACCCAGGCTCTGCCACCATCACTCGTGCTGACAGTTCCCCTCAGGTGTCCCCAGCAGCACTGCTCCGACCACCTGAACAGTGCAGGACCTGTGCCAGCTCCTGGGTTTTCCTTGGGACTGGGACAGCGTTTCACTGACATTTGCTCAACATGGCTTTTTCTTCCTCCTGGAAGCTTTATGCAATACAGCAGCAATATTATTGGTGGTGGTGTTGTTGTTGTTTTTATTATAAACAATAATAACAATAATAATTAGTTCGAAGAACTGATGTAAATTCTGCAACCTGAAGTTTCTTCCACATTTATTTGCACCATCTGAAGCTGACTCAGTCTCCTCTGCCTGCTGTTTCTAAGGGAATCAGCCCAGAGGAGAACATATGTATGTTCAGGTATATGAGCATATTACCAGCCTGAGAGTTCGTATGTGCACGGGAGTGTGGTGGGTTAACCTCTGCTGGCTGCCAGACGCCCACCCAGATGCTTTCTCATTTTCCTGCCTGAGCAGGACAGGGGGACAAAAGCTGATTCAAAAGAAAATCTTGTGAGTCTTCCTGATCACTCCTTGGCCCTCGAGCTGGTGAATCATGGATGGGAAGCAGGGAGCCTTGGGGGATGTATATTGCTGATGGTGTGCCATCGTGGCAGCCAGGGCCGCATGCTGCTCTTTGACGTGCAGCAATCCCATGGCACAGGGTCCTCCAGGAGGCTGGGCAAGGCAAGCACTTGTTTCAACTTCTCTGAATCGATGGAACTGCATCAAAAGCCCATCACTGTCTTTTTGGGTTCTTGAAGTAACCTCTCCTGAGACAGCCTATGCCAAGGACACACATGGCTTCTGAGCTGGTCACAACAGTGTACTTTTGCCATTTGTCTCCTGCTAAGCTCACCTCAGCCCCCAGTACAGCTTTTGGGATCACCCTGTCAATCCAGAATTCCAGATGAGTTCCTCTCCCACGTGCCGTAATGGCTTTAGGGTATGCTGTTCACTAGTGTCTAGCAATACTTTAGACTTCCATGGATCCAATGTGCCAGGCCAGCAAATCCACACAGCCCAGTAAAGCTGGTCACCCTTCTCCTCCTCCTGATCAAAGGCAGTGACCCTCTATTAGAGGCTGGAGACCCTTGCAGTGTCAGACCAAAAGTCCCTTTACCAAAATAAAGAGAGGCATTCTTAGTCCTCTTCTGTAGCAGGGAGACTGCTGGTTGCCTTCCTCCATCCACAGATGATATATTCAAGCCTGGTCAGTCCATATAAAGTGGTGAATTTCACACAACCCTTCTGCACTTGCTCATGTACAGTGGCTATCAGCATCTTTGGAGACGTGGTTGTCATGCAGGTCACTGTCACAAGACTTTCCAGCACTGCTAGTAGTCTCACATACTGGATGCCCTCTTCAGTGGTAGTGGCAGCAATCTGCTTGCCAGACTGGTGGCTGTAATGTTTCAACATATTTTGAAGTCTGGCCAGGTTTCAGGGCTGGTCATTTCTTTCACTTCCTCCTCTTTTTGCCTGCTGAAGGACTAGCTGCCTGATCAGATCCTTCCTCCTCCTGCTCCTGTACTAATTGCTGGTATGGACCCATTGACATCTGCGTCCAGTGTTTCTTTTTGACTGCTAAAGTAATTACTGTAGCTGGGACTTGGGTCCCTGTCTTATCCACAGTGTTGGCACATGTGGTTTAGATCCCTGTCTCGACCACGTTTCCCTGATGGTGCTGAAGGGAGGCTCAAGAAGCACAAGGAAAGCCCCAACGCAGAGCCAAGAGCTGCTGGGTTTCACTGGAGCAGGCAAGGCACCCTTCCATCAAGTGCCAGTTCAACACGCCTGTAGAGGTGCAAGATCACAGGCTATGGGAGGTGATAACCCTGCCAGGCAGCCACCAAGTCCTCCCACACACCATGCAGGCACCCAGGGATCACTGGCCTAAAGCCTTGTCACCTCACGGCAAACTGGCTCCTCGTAACACCAGAAGCAGTTTCCATGCAAATGACAAGATGATGACATTAGCCAAGTCATTGGGTAAGGATGTGGTGAGGACCTCTGGAGAGGAAGGCAGGCACATCAGTCCCGGAGGGGAAGAGAGAGGAGCGAGCCCTCAGCTCCCCACAGGACAGCCCTCCTGGCACAGGAGCAGTGCCCGTGCCAGGGCCAAGGCAGGGCTGCTGCTTTTATCAGAGTGCTCCCAGGCACGGCGAAACACAGAGATAAGCACTGCAGCAAGAGGAGCTGAAAGCAGCCAGTGCCCAGCCCGAGGCTCTGTTACACTGTAAATCAAGCGAGCCCTGTGAGCCATGCAGAAGCCTGACAATTATCAGCTAAGGCAGCTATAGTACACCCAGATCAAAACTGGCTTTATCTCGTGCCCAAGTAAAAGACTGGTGGGATGATCTTGGCTGGTTCCCAGATATCCACCTGGATGCTGCCTCACCCCTCCTCCTCAATTGGACAGGGGTAGAAAATAAGGTTAAAAAACACCTCAAGGGTCAAAGACAGTTTAATAAAAAAAGCAAAAGCTGTGCATGCGACCAAAGCAAAAAAAGGAATTAATTCCCTGCTTCCCATCAGCAGGCAGATGTCCAACTACACCCTGGGAAGGAGAGCCTCAGCTCATGTAATTGTAGCTTGGGAAGACAACCACCATGATCCTGCTTTCCCTGAGCTTCTATGAAAAGTGATGTGCAGCCTCTCCTTTGGGTGCTGTTTGCATCAGAGGGCTGGTGTGACCTGTGTGATCTGCTGAGCCCTTGGCAGGGACCATGCCCTGAAGGAGTATCTTACTTCATGTGTGTGCTGGAGGCAGGGGCATACCTCTGTAGCCCAGAAGGTCTCTGCTGGAAGGAGATTTAGCAACAGAGGGTACCTGACTCTTGCACGGGGCCACATGAGCACTTTACACCTGGGGAAATGTTCCCTGCACAGCTGGGGGCCGGCACCTTGTAGCGTGGGTGAGGCAACCTCTGTGCCTGGGTTGGTTTGTTCAGCTCTCCAGCTGCTCTTGAGGGACTCTTCTGGTGTTTATGTCCAAGTCCAGAGGTGATGTCATCCCCAGATGGATTTTCCTGTTCAGGTCAGCTAACTAGGTGGAGGTGTATCATGGATCATACCCAGGACTGCTGCACATAGATCAGGCACTCCAAATTATTTGGATCTGCATATGCCAGGATGTTCCACAACACTGCTCAGGAACTGTATCTCGAAGGAAAAAAGGCACATCTGCACTGGAAAAGAGGCACATCTGAATCCTTTTCATATTCCCAGCCCTGACTGGCAAGAGCTGCTTGCAAAGGCAGTCCCATGGTCTGGAGGGAATCTGGCATCAGGGAGCATGGGATGAAGCAGAATTTGTCCCTTGAGGCCAAAGAGCACCAGAGCAGGTGCTGGTGAATCCTGAGCAGTGACACAGCAGGAATGCATTCCTTCTGGAAACACTGCTACAAGTACATTGCATAATGCTTGCTGAGCTCTCCCTCCAGGTCGCCAGGAGGAGAAAATGTTGGTGTTTAGTGCAGGCAGCTACTTAGCTGGGGACTGGGGTAGGAGCAGTGTCAAGGGTCTGTGCCAGGAGCTCTGCTCTTGGGAAAGCAGCCAGAGATGCAGGAGGAAATGAATCACCAGTGGCAGCTCTGGGACTACAAACTAAATGAGTTTAATGCAGTGTGCAAACAGAACAAGGCTCATCCCTGCACAGGGTTTGGTAATAAGCCCATGATAATCTGTGCTTTTTGAGGTACAGCATGCATTTTTCAGTGGGCTGTTGAGTGTTTAATTTGGTTTTATACACTGTGCTCTACGTGTAATTGGGGTTTGAGTCTGTCTATTTGATTTCAGAAGTTAAGCAGTAGAAAGAAGGGGGTGTCCTGACATTTCCACTGGACTGTGGGACTAGATTTCCACATGGACAATGTTCCTGGACATATTTTCAAAGCACTCAGCAGCTTGAGCTCTTCTGAAAATTTCCCCCTTTTTTTTTTTTTTGCAGCCTATGTGGGATACAAACTTTTTGAAAGATTTGCTCCAGAGAACAACTTCTGGTTTTCAGTGGTTTAACTTAGCCACATCCTTTTTCTTCATGAATATTTCAGGAAGATTTCTGCGACAACCACAAACAAAACCCCAGAAATTCAGCATCCTGCCAATCTGTGTGCTGAAGCCTCTGCTTCACCCTCACAAAGTGTGCTGGAACTGTGGCACACAATTTCTCCCACCTTCAGCTGAGTCACCTTATAATGGTGGCAGAAGGCTAAACAATCAAATTCTGGCAAGAAGGTGATGAGGGCTACTTACTGGGACATCCAAAAAGATGCTTGAACATAGGTAGGATAATGTGTTTTCCTCCAGTCTCAAAGGACAGACTGAAACAGCTCTGCTGAACTTTTGAAAGCTGAGGTGTGGTGTGGAAACATTCGGCAGCTGCAGTTAAAAGGCCCTGAAACTCACAACTGTGGTGAGGACTGAGTAGAGGACATGTGGACTTGTCAGGGACATTGGACTAGATGATCTTTAAAGGTCCCTTCCAATCCAAACCATTCTGAGTCTGTGCTTGTACTGTGGGCAGTGTAGGCTGACCCTAAGTTTTGGTTCCTCACGTTACAGTATCACCAGACTTTGCAAAGGGTGGACACCACTGGGGTTCAGCAGAGGAGGGAAGTTCAGACGGGTGTCACCAGTGCAGGGTGTGCAATGTGAAAAGGTGACACCAGCAGTGTCCTTCCCGGCGTTTCTCCAGCTGGATTGCCGTGGGCAGTCCTGCCCTCTAGTGCCTGCAGCGCCCGCTCCTCTGGCCTCCGTGGAGGATGCTGCGGCTCTGAGCCGGGAACAGCAACTGGAAACCCCCGTGGCCTCCCCTGTGCCATGACGAGTGCAGAGCCAAACTGGAGGAGAAGCCCTGTGAGAAAGTGAAAGGCTTCTTATCAAATCCACAGAGGAGGTGGACTTCTTATCAAACACAAAGTCCAAACTATTTCCTTCCAGCTGACATATCCAGGAGTGCAACTTTCCTCGATGCTCAAAAGAACCTGCAGCTGGCACCTCCTGCAGCAGCCAGGCGTTCTGCAGCACCCGTGCCTGGCTGTGCAGCCCCACGTGCAGTCAGGGCTATGTGCCAGACCCATGTGCTGGGGAGCAGCTGCCCCTCTGGAAGCCAAGACCTACATCCAACCACCTACCTGCATTTCTGTGTCTCCTCAGCTCTGGGGTGATGGATCACATCATCACTGTCTCTTTTTCTAAAGCATCTTGAGGGTCTGAATGACTTTTTGATTTTGGACTTAGTGGTGGCAGCACATAGGCTTTCTGAAGAGGATGTCCCTATCCCTCTCCATGTTCCTGTCTCCTGGGTTCATGAATTTCTGGCTCACAGTGTTCTGCTTAATCTACATGTCTGAATATTTTGTAACACTCCCAAGAAGCCTCTGACTGGTGAGGATGGAAAGACACCCTTGCCAGTCACTCCATTTTGTCCAGGGCTGCTGGTGGCAGCCCTATTAAATGAAGAGGATAGGAAGAGGGCAGAGGCTGCAGTGCCTCAGCTAACACGGTCACGGTGCTGTGGGACAGGCACTCACACGGAGCCTTCACAGCCGCTGGGGGTGAAGTTGGGCACATGGAGACCATCATTGTGTTTTGGTCGTCAGGAACAGTAGGTGTGGGGGCTGACTGGGAGTGCTTTGAAAGCCCCACAGCACAACCACAGGCATTGGGAAGCCTCCAATGACACCTCTTGGCATCATTCTATCTATTCCAGGACATGTGTTGTTCAGTGTTGCCTTTCCATCAAGACCTTGTAATTCAAGGTGTCATAATTAACCCCACACTCAGCTGCAGATAGGGATTTCTGAAAGATACAGAGAGCACACACATGCCCCTTTCTGGAGGAAGTGGTGTCACTCTAAGTTTAATTGAGACTTGCTCAAACTGAGAAGCAGAGGTCACCGCACCATCAACTAACGTGACATTTTGTTTGTGTTCACGCAGGGTGGCTGACAAGCTGCCGAGACCAAACCTCGTCTTGCTCAAGCTCTTGCTCTCTCTGCTCCACCACATCAGCCAGAATGCCCAGACCAACAGGATGGACTCCAGCAACCTGGCCATCTGCATTGGCCCAAATATGCTGAGCCCAGGGACGGAGAGCGCGCTCCCGCTGGAAGTGCAGAAGGAGATGAACGACAAGGTGCGCTGAACTCTCCGAGCAGCCGCTCCCTCTGGGGCAGTTCAGAGCCATCCATAGGGATCCATGCCACTGCCATTGCAGCAGCTGAACAGAACAGCACCCCTGGGCCTTGGGGGTGCCCCTCAGCTCAGGTGTCCCTCAGCCTGCGATGCCATGGCATGGGCCAGGCTGGCCCTCACCTCCCCTCCTCTGAGCAAAAGCAGCAGCTGCCCTGCAGCCCCTAAAGTCACAGCACAGCTCCTGCAGACTTTGCATGTGGAGGGCAAGGGGCACCCGTGGCCATTGTCAGCCCTGAGCCCTCGGGCAGCAAGGCCAAAGCTGTGGCTGATGGTGTTCTGTCTGTATTGTCTGCAGCATCAGGCCTTATCCCCCCATGGTAGATTCAGCCTTGGACTTTAAGGCAGAATCCTCCCTGTTCTGTGCTGTCCTTCCTACAAAGACAGCAGGCAGGGTCAGGAAAGAATCTTCAATATGTCTTGACTGAAATGGGCTGTTTTCTGTGTGCAGGTGACAGTGTTGGTGGAGTTCCTCATAAACAATTGCTTGGAAATATTTGAGGAGGACATTGCCTTCCCTGCCTGTGCCTTGGCTGAGGAGTCACCAGAGCACACAGACAGCTCCACAGGTATGAGAAGGGACTGGGGAGGTCACCAACTGGGCCAAATTATTGAATTTGATATGTGAGTACATCTGTGGAAACACAGAGAGTTGCTGCCAGTTCAATATGTTAATGAAGGGTTTTTTCTACAGGAATGCCTTCCAGAAGGTCAAAATTACAACACTCACAATCCAGACTTAAATCCAAATGTTAAATATCTGATTCAAGCACATTTTGTTACAGATGTGCTGAGACTTCAAGGCTCCTTCTGGCAGGCCTAAAGAAGAGGATAATTCTCCCAACCTAACAGATCTAGAGGTCTTTATTTTGTCACCGTTTCTCAGGAGGAACAGGCTATGAAAAGAAAGACACATTTTCAGTGTAGCTGATATCCTATCTTTGTCCTTTTTTGCACTTGCCTTATCAAAGTTAACTGCTTCAAGAATTGTTTGTTCTTCAAGGTGAGACGAAACTTGAAGGTTTCGATGCTGGCTTCAGAAATCTGTGGTGTGAAACGTCCTCTCAATAACCATTTTCAGAAGAGCAGAACACATTACAGAGAACGTGACATCACAATGTGCACAGATGCCTCGTATATGATTTTAGCTGTGTTTTGAGTTTTGGGTTTTGTTTCATTTCATTGTTCATTTACTGGATAATGTTTGCCTTACTGAATTGTCAAGTTTAAAAATCACAGGAAAATCCTGCAGTTTTGCTTTTTAGAGCTGAATTCAGAAGAGCAGCAAGTGAGGTGCACAGAGGGAGTGAGGAGGTGCTTTTCTGAAGAGAAAATCCTCTCCATTTTTCACCCAAGAAGAAAGAGGAGTGGCCACGCAAATGTGGCCATGCAAATAGGAAAAGGAGAGGTGCAGTTCCCCAGCCACTGTCAAAACAAATCTCCTGTATGAACAAAGCTTCTGATGCAAAACTGGGCCAAAATCAGAAAGGAAATTCTCCTCACAGAAGGTATTGAAACAAAAAAGTCTTCAATTTACACCATGAGGTTAAGTGCAAAATTAAGGAAGATGTGCCTCCATGTGCACTGGTTCTGCTGCTTTAGCCAAGAACTACATTGCTGAGAAATGCTGTCCCCTAAAAAAAGTGTCCAGCCCAAGAAGGGGCTGGGAACGCAGAAATAGGGTCCAGATAAGTGCTCAGCTTCTCGCTGGCAGTCCCCACAGGGGCTGTGGGAGGCTGTGTGCTGTCTCAGGCCAGCCCATTCACCACTTAAGCCCGAGCAGCACTTGTGATTCTCTCTGCCTTAGCTGACACTGGTCCCCCACCCACAGCTGCTGAATTGCTGCCATGTTCATTGATTCAGAAGGGCTGTGAGATCTGGAACACTTACAAGGCTATATGTAGCTAGCAGTAACAAAAACAGGTGTTTATCAACTGCTTTTCGGGCACACTGAATATTTTGGTGGCTTCCTTGGTTCCAGTGTTTCCCACCACCAAAAGATCCCATGCTTCATGTTTGCTCCTGGCATGGAACATTGTCACCATGGTCACAATTTCTTTTTTCAGAAAGAAATACACTTTGGGAAGTACATCCTTGCCAAAAATACTTCATTTGGGATGAGCCATTCAAACTCCTACACAAGCTTTAAAAAGATTTGAAATTACTTTACTGTCTGTCTCCACCAGATGTCACTGATAACACTAAGCAGAGCACCTTTACCCGTGATTAGAGCCTTCCCTCAAAGGCAGGCTTGCACACCCACATATTTATTGCCCACAGTCTGCACCATGGCCGTGGGTGGTTGACGTTGCAGACATTATTTTAGCATTTGTCATGAAGAGGTTATTCAGTGTAAAGCCCTTCCTGGCATCCATCCTGCTTATCACACACTTTGGGTTGTATAATATTTTTCTCCAGATCTCTCCAGATTGGATGGGCATAGGCTTAGGGACTGGGTTTCCCTAAATGTGCAGCTGTGGCAGTGACCAGGAGACCAGCGTCAGGCTTACTGATGCACCCAGCAAGGTACCAAAAAACAAGTTTTCCATAGTTTGAGGCAAAAATCAAAAACTTGAAAACTGAAATGGTAATAAAATTCTACCATTGGGCTTGGACCAAAATGGTTCTAATTGGCAACAGAGGATTAGCACAACCTTTAGAGAGAAAATCAAGGAGATTGATGTGGCTGCTACTGAGGGGCTGCCAGTAGCCACCCTCTCCCTGCTGCCCAGAGCAGATGGAGCAGATAGACCCAGCTAGGATGGGCCTGGGGGCTGACAGGGAGCTGAGAAATGACTGTCAGAAAGCTGAGAAATGACCAACAGGAAAGCTATCACCACATCTGCCTCTTCAGCCCTGACAGAGTCTCACACAGGCACCTCAGCAGGCAATGGAGCAAAGGCTACTGCTCCTAAAGGTCTTCAGAGTGTTGTCTGCCACATCTGCTGACCTAGCAGGGTAGATCCCAGTCTGAGAGTGGAATATCAGGAATGACATCATTCAAGGACTTGATCCACACCCCACACCCTCAAAAGGATCCACTGGACCTCACTGGACCACCTAGATATGTGACCTCAAAGGCAGGCCCTGCCTTCCACCCCTGCTGGGCTGGAACTATTCAGTGACAATCAGGGCAGCTCTTGCTTAGATGGAAAAGCTCCCTTGCAAGGTGTCACCCTCTCTGTGGGTGGCTAAAAATCAGAACTAATGAGATGTAACCACCAACAAATCCACTCAGCAGTTTGAGGATCAACAGGTTTGAGTGTGTTACACTGAGTGTCTATAGTCAGATGGTTTGAGGTCAAAATTAGGCTAGCACAGCACAGACACGTTCTAAAGGTGAAATGTTCCTCTGTAAACTCTGGGGTTTATGTCACAGTAATTCATACTGTGCTCTATGTTTTATTTATCATTAATTCCTAAAAGTATCCTAATAGGTGTCATCTCTCTGAAACTAGAATTTTCCATGCTCACCTCACCTGCTTTCTAGTCTTTGAGAACAATTGCTCTGTTTCTTTTGGGGACAGGCAAGATGGGAGTCAAAGGCTGGCAGTGAAAATTTGGTTTAGGTGTTGAAGTCAATGGGACCAGGGCTTTTCAATGGTTTTGTTTTCATAAGAATGGAGACTCTTATCATGACTTCATATAAATCAGTCTTATTATGGCTTATTTTATCTGCTTTAAACTAAATAAAAAAGACATTAAGGCGTGGCATGTGATAACTGAAAATATGTTAGCTTCTTTAGTGGAATATTAAATATCAGTTTTATGGATTACTCATTACTGGATGTCCTCTTGTACCTTTACATCTCTAGGAGGGTTGCTGTGGATATTTGCAAAAAGATTCAAGCCACTGAATGCTGACTTTAATATTTATTTTAGGAATTATCCAAGGGACAACTGTCAACTGGAAGATTTTAATTTCTGCCATTTCTACCTTGTGTTTTATTGGCTGAAAAATTTAATTAGAGGGTGTTGAGTTGTAGTATTTAAATTATGTGACTTTATTTTTATTCTTAAATTGTTGTAAGATAAATTAATTATATATACCAATTGCAATAATTCAGTAATACTGGTTTATGAAAGGTCAAGAACACTCTGAAGAGAATTCCAAGGTTTGTACATCACTGCTAATCTTCACACAACATTAAAAGTGTTGTTCAGAGTCCATGTCCTCACCTACCTGAAGTGATATGAACAACTCACAAGTAGAGAAAAGAAAGCATGTTTGGTTATATCTAGAAAGACAGGCTCCTGACTTCATTACTTTCTCTTTTTTTAAAGAAAAATGTGAAGAATTTGTTTGGATTTTTATGTTGTGGAAATTGTCAAGAGACTACAAGGTCAGCCTAAGGTGTTTTAGCTAATGTGGCTTGGGATTTCACCTCCCATCTGCTGTAGTAGGGGTGGAGGGCACTTGTGGAAAGTTTTCTGAAAACTTACAGGTAGATATTTTTCCTCTAGCATCATTCATATGAGTGTCATTTTTACATCACTAGAATTTACAAATACATCCAAGTCTGTAAATAATAGCCACACTTCAAAATCTGTACTTAAGAAAAAAAAAAGTGGCATAAAAATATTACTACACTGTAAAAATTACCTTGCAATAAATTTGTACAATATATTAGAATCGGAGAGCCAATTTCCTTAACCCTAAAATATAGTGCAATCTCTGTTCTTTTGTCAACAGCTAATGGTTGTGTTTGATAAAAACCCTCATAAATCTGTTTCCATACCCCCTAAATGAAATATTTGTTTAATGATAACAGCAGCATGGGCACCAGGAATGCTTATTTGATGAAAAATATTTCTTCACATGGATAAGGCATACCCAAGTTTAAAAGAAAAATGTTATAATGGCCATTCCCAAGACACCTTTTGCAAGTGACTCTTGGTGAGAGGACATGACTGCGCTCTGCAGTCAGCCTGGCAGTCACATTCCTTCAGCTGAGTGGGAATTATTTAAGTTTGCTCTAACTTAAAGATAGCACTGGCAACAGAATTTACTTAGGAGCCAGACAGGCTCCTATGCCAATAAAATTGCACTGCACTGACCCAGAGAGGGCATCTTGCTAGTAGACAGATCAGTGGTTGGGCAGGTTCTGCTGCATTTCCTTCCACTTGCCCCAAAACAATTGCACAAAGCAGCGTTAGGAACACGCAGCAGGGACAAGCTGACAAATGGGCAGGGAGCTGGGGCACTGCAGGGTACAAGAGTTGTGCCTGACAGGTGACAGCTGGCCCTGGGCTCTCTGCTGGGTAGCACAGGCAAGTCAATGTCCTGAGGCTGGAGAAGTGAGGTTACTCCAAGGTGAGCAACCTTGCAAGCTGCCTGCCAAAACCCTCATATGGCCAAAGGTTAAGAAAGAAGAGAAAGCTCCAGTGTGGGTTCACCTGATCCCCACGGGCCCATGCTCTCTCTCCATGGGGCTGGGGAGACACCTCTGCCAACACTACTCTTCTTACAACACAGTGTTTGTGCCTGAGGTCCCCTGGCAGATTTGACACATCACATGAAGACCAAAAATATCATTCACTAAAATGTAAAAATACCAAATCCAAATTAATGTATTTTCATGTATATAACTGCCCAAATGATAGGCACTGTCTAGTTCTGGTTAGTGGAAAACAGACTGAATGAAAATGTTATGTGTGTGCCTGTAAATCAGCACTGTCTGGGGACATACCAGTGAATAAAGAGAAGTCTTTCTTCTGGAAAATTAAAAAATTTTTTTTTCCTTATGTCTGTGTGGCACCACCTCTCTAACTTTAGGCAATTTATCAAAGATTTCCTCTTCCAGAGAGCCTCAGCTACTGTCCCACTCCAAGAAAACATTGCTGCCCTCCAAATGCTCTTGAGACACAAGATCTCCTGCCATCCCAGTCCCGGGTGACTTGCAGTCCCTACGAAAGTGCTGATGAACTGCTCCGTGGGAACACACCTACACCCCGTGCCTGGGCTGCAGGAGCTGCCCGGCCTTGCAGACAGCACAGGGCTGTAGCAGTGTCTGTGGAATGGACTGATGGAAAACTAAAAGGGAATCTAAGTCAGGTGTTGTTCAGGAGCTGAAATATCACAGGAATCAGGAGAACTCTCCCCTAGTACTCTGAGAACTCTGCATGAGCTTAAGAGGTGCCACAGCAGTGTGGGACTTGAGACTGGAAAACCCATCAACCACAGGGATGCAGTGCCAGTGCTCCTGACCTCTCCATTCTTCCTGTGTGACTTCAGACTTGGGACTTTTGGACACCTACTAGCAGTCTGAGGTTCATTAAAAAGTTACTGGGAAGTACAGACGGTTGCTATGGAAGTGCAGACAATGTGGTACAAATGTATGTTGAGTGTGGGGCGGGTGGAATAATTGTT